GTGGCATCACACTGCAACTACAGTATCATTTTTGACAATGAATCATTATTATGTGACTATCATGGCTTGAATTGATCAAAAATCGCCTTATATTAGCTTCTTATTCATAATCAGTCATTCACCGATCGAAAAAATTCCCTTCGCTGACCATAAAGTCTGACATTACGAAGTTACAACAATGTGAAGATTGCATGCTCCGTCTTCAAGGTCGATCGCTCCAACTGTCGTGCGAGCGACTAGCGCGAAGCAGCCTGCTATCAACGGCCGTCCTCAAAGGGTTAACACCTTCTGTCGGAAGTAGACGAAGCGAAAAATCTAAGTTTTCTATATCATTCTGATAAAAATGATTTCCTCTACACGCTCATATTTTTTTATGCACATACTATGTGGAGGAAAAAGTTCTTTAACACTTGCCGAATATTTGAATTTTATGTGTGTTTCACACAGTGTCGGCTACTGTAAATCCATGGGAATATATCAGGAATATTTTCATAAGATAATTCCCAGGGCAGCGGTAGTTATATTGAATCAATTTTTAATTTATCCTTCGAATAACAAATGATAACGATGGACAAAAGCGAGCTTCGAGTTTTAAGACGCTATTGCTGCAAGTGACAACTTTCGACAGGAGATACTGCGAAGGGGTTGTGTGGTGCCGAAGAAAGTGACGTCAGATGAGAAGTGAGTCTACCTGGTCAATTACGATCGAAGCAAACGTTGGATTCCAAGAGATGAAGCTCCGACATCAGTAATAAAATAAGCACATCAAAATCCGTTCGGTCAAAGAGTCATGATCTGCGTTTGGTGGAATCTTGGAGGTATCTTGCACTTCGAACTTGTTCCCATTGGACGCGCCATCGATGCCGAACTCCACTGCAAGCAGCTGGACCGAATCTACGATGCGTGGAAAGAAAAGTTACCAACATGGATTCGTCGAAAATGTGCGCTGTTTCAGCAAGACAATGCCAAATCTCACACCGCAAAGAAGACTGGAGAAAATTTTGTTGAATTGGAGGGAGTCAAGGTTTTGTAGTTCCAGGCTACAGTTATATCCTGCGCCGTGCGATAATGGTTCAGTCCTGCTCAATGAAAAATTTCTTGCGAGACACCTATTCGAGACATTTGATCAAGCTGAAGAAATATGTTAGGAGATTCTGATTCAAATCTCAAGAATGGCTGCATTCAAGCAGATCCGAAAGCTTGCAGATCATTGGCAGAAGATCGTGGATAATGACAGCCTTTCTTTTGAGGAATAATAATTGTTGTTTTTAAGATTGAATTCATGTATACACTTCGAATTTTCAGTGGACGTTAAGGGATTTTTTCCCAACCTACGATAAATTTTGAGTGCGAGAAAATCCGAGTTTGGAGCGTAGTTTACTTCTCGATCTCACAGCTCACTAAGAAGACTTTGTTAGGAGTTGAAATTAGCTTCGAATTCGTCAAGCTTTGAGCTATGTAATGAGCATGAGTATAGTATGATGAAAGCGAATCCCCATATTTTAGTCGAATAATTGAGGCAATGGAGTGTTTACACATAATTATTTTCGCTGCTACAGCGCACTAAGAAGCCTTTTGAATATTAAGGACAGTGTTGGAATAGAATAGATTAAAGCTCTCGAATATTTTCCAACATTTCGGGTAGAAAAGCTTTGCCTGGCGGAAAAAAACCGCAGAAAGTTGGTTTTCAAAATGACCCTCATCGTCGGCAAAGGCTTGAAGAATTACCATGTTTGCTTTCTGAGTGTATAACCTAGCCTAGCATTTGACAACTTTGCGTCTGAGAGCTATTTTTTGGCTTTCGATTTTTAGTGAGATACTGTCAACAGCATTCCCACAGGACAGCTTTCACTTAGTTGAATATTCCAATTTTTCTAGTCCTCTGATCATTTGGCTTTCCAGAATTCCAGAAGCAAAATCAAATCACTCCCGTAAAAATTCACTGATATTTCTAGCTACTTATAGATTGCCCTTTCGTCTTCTCAACCTTCACTTCTACGGGACACGAGATCTAACGAGAACAAAAAAGGTTTAGATCTCTTCTCCGTTTCCACAGTTACGCAAGTGACCCCTTGCTTACGAGTTTCGAACACTATAAGATAAGCAGTGATGGTGTAGACAATGCTAAACGAAATAATGTTGAAGAAGAAAACAAAGGGCGAAGTAAACGTGGTCTTTTCATTATATCCTTTGGTTTGACGGTTAATCAGGAAAGTAAGCGATCATCAATAAGATCCGTCATTAGTTTATGTGCCAGCGATGAGAGCAAATTTTGACACTGAGCTCCGTCCTATCAACCATTTGGCATCAACTAAGATTTTCTTCTAAATACACCATCCGTTATGTAGTCGCTCTTCTCATCTCGTGGTGCGCATTTGCATAATTTTTAACACTTATACGAACACATCTGCGACTTGAGAAACCTTTTTTTTTTCTTTTTTTCAGTATTTCATTGAGAGCGTGGCCTAAAAAGACGAGTTTTTTTCCGCAAAATCTGTGCAAAATAATCCTATCGCGTTGGGAGCATCCCGTATTTTGCAAATGAAAAAAGAACAGAAGTTCTGATTTATGTTAACGATAGAGATGCTTTTAACATCAACCGATGGACGAGAGTCGTTAGCAATTGAATTTTCCGAGATGTCAAGCGCACCACAGGAAGATATCTGACTACAATAAGAGGACCCATTAGGCTAGTCTTGCACGCGATAAGGAAAAATGGAAATTCTAGTGGTGCTTCTTGAGTCAGTCGAAGACAATTAGGGCGATACAGGTGATTTGTAGAAGAGTTTTTAGAGCCAAAATAAACTGGCAGGACAAAACGACCTTTACAGAAGTTCAATGGTCTCCTGGGAATTGATTTGTATAAAAGTTACGTCCACACATTAGTATTAGAAAATGTGAAGGTTACAAGGCTTATATAAAAAATTTTCGATGTTTGTTCTCAAAAAATTTTATAGACTTTGAAAACATACATCTAAATAAACAAGCAACCTCACTTCTTAAAAAACTCATTGAACTTGAAAACTCCACGTTCAAATGAACAATGAATTTCACTATTTCAAACATAATAAAATATTATTGTTGCGGTTTAGAAGTAGAAAAAGGATAAATCACAACATCATGCGCAGTTCAAATTCTATTCACAGGCGAATATAAGTGTTCTCAATGAGAATGGAGGTAGTCGGAAATATCTGCAACTATGAGCAATGTCAAAGAACGGAAAGATTGAAATACTTCGAAGCGAATGCGATCGCATTCTTCTCAGCCTCAGCCTTCGACGAAGCAGGTGGGCCATCAAGACGCGTATAGCCGACGAAAAATCTTAAGGTATCCTTATTAACTGATAGACAGATAAGGTTACTTTATTATTGGATTCGAGAGTGCTTTTTATGTAAGTATAGCTGTCTATATGGTTTTTGTAAGAACTGGAATATGCTTAATAATGTTATGAAACAAACGAAAACAATTGCATCCTAATTTGTTATAATCAATTTTTCCTGAGTTCTTTTTGTTAAAATAAACCAAGATTTGAAAAGAGATCTTATCCAGAAGGAGAGCGAGTTAGGCTGGGAACGAAGGAAAGCGAGGTGATGACACAGAAAGAGTGGAGAAAAGTAATTCCAAACGATCTTAAAGCATTAGCCAAGATTTTTTCCCATTGATAAACTTGAATGAAAATTAAACTGAGCTGCCCTCTATCATATCTATTTTTATTCTTTCATCTAAATTCACTCCCAATTTGTAAATTTTGAAGGATTGAGGGCTTGTTCTGTTGAAACGTCAAATCTATATTGGCGGTCCAGATTTTACGTTTCAACGAAGCTTGTTGTAATGCTCAAGTTTTGAAAAAATTTAGCGAACAAGGTTGGGTAAATGTTAGGTAGTTCTTCCCAGATTTGACTCCCAAAGGTCATTTTCGTCAGTATGCAGTTCAGTCGTAATCTTTCACATCGCCACACGAAAACGAACACCTATGTGTTTGCTTGCATGCTAAAAAGACATTGAAATCTTGTGATCGACGCTCCTTATAAAGTAAACGTATAAGCTGTATAGTCTACAATGCCATGCGTCATACGTCGAGTAAGTTATAAACTTACAGGTAAAATCATTGCCACATTTTTTCACCCACAAACGTTTTACAACATTCCTCCTGTTTTTGCGACTGCTACACAATTTCGTCTTCACAATGTCGCTGACTGCTGGACGATTTAATTTCCAAGCAATCTTGGGAAAATAAGGTGCTCCCAAGTGGATTGCAAGAGTGTTGGATAGTGGAAGTTAAGCCACCAACTTGTTTCGTGATAGACTGATTACTGAAATGGACATCAGTGATTACTCCGCTATGCCCATTTACGCGGTAGCGGCTTAGCTGAGCAAATGGTAGCAAGATCGTCGTCTTAAAATAGTTGCACTCCTTCTTTAGGACAGAAATTCTTATGGATAATTTGATATATAACAATTATACATTCGTTTCGAGATGAAACTGTGCCGAGGGTAAAAACGATTGTTGATGAAACACGAATATCGTTTAGAGTTCAAGTGCTGCTTTGGCACGCAACGATACTCGTCTAGCAACAACAATCGTTCTTGCTCTCACGGCATTCCATTTTAGAACAAACTTGTATGCATTCTAAATCAAGAAAACCGGAAGAGGGTGCTCTAAAAGATAGTAGAATCAAAAACTTGAGTACGTGAAAAATGATCAGCGAGAAAATATCCAGAAAATTTGTTGCTAACCCAATATGTTATCAAGTAATGTATCTTAACAGATTGAGAGGGCAATGATTGTAGGTAATGTGTAATGAGCATTTTGTAGGTAATGATCACAAATTTTATTATCCTCTATTTTAATCAATCAACCAATTTCATTACGAGGCGCGATAGGATTATTTGAAAATAAAAGTGGCCAATAATCAGTCACAAATGATTTTATTTGACCGCCAGATGCGGTGTTATGATGTTACAATATACGTAATATGTAAAGCGCTGTGCAAAAACGTTTGCGTCAGCCGGGATTCGAACCCAGATCTCACTCTTTTTAGGAGCGTATGTTAACCGTGGCCACTATTTTCACACAGAATGCATTGACTTCAGCATTGTCACGTTTCGTGTGCTAACAGTATTCCAAGAAAAAACGATATTAAGAGCATAATTGTACGATAATAGTTATTATACAAGATTTTTTCTACTAATTCACTTCATCTCCTAACAGATCTCACCCACCGTGGTGGCGTAGAAGATGAAGTTATTTATGAGCACTGATGACGTGGTCAGACAGGCGTCACCTAGTCCACGGATGCGAATTTGTTTGAAGAATAACTGAAACAATAGTAAAGTTACCAAATCTCTCAAGAGGAGGTTGCAAAAATTTGTTAGAACATCCATGGATAATGCAAAACACTAATTTAATTTTAATAATTTCCTTCTCAAATGCAACTACACTTACCGACCTCAACAATTTGTGACTGGTCTTCAACTACTGCAACTGGTGTGGTGAAAGGTTGTGGAAATGGTGGCAGGCAGATAAAAGGCGGAGCTGGTAACATATTTGACGGTCCTGTAATGTCGAGGAACATAATGGAATCTTTTAATAGGCTTTGATCAATGCTTCATATTACTGTAAAAAAATTGATTAACCTTATAGACTATTGTAAAAGGAGCAACTGAGCTAAGTACTAACCTAAACTTGCAGCAAGTGGAGTATTTGTGAGGGTTAGTAGCGGAACATTTACAATTTGAGGTGCTATGAACGAAGTCTCAATTTGAAGTAACGGAAAGCCTTCGAAGTTTCGAAGCGAACTGGAACGTATATGATTTTTTAACATCTGTAAATGCACAGTATCGGTTAGAACTCTTGACATCAAAGTCTTTCACAGTCGTAAAAAAATTTCCTTGAAAAAGATTGCGAAGAATCGGTACAGAGATGCTTAGGAGAAAATCGTTACTTCTGAATGATGTGATGGCTTGGAGCCATTATTTAAAACATTCCAGAACGACCCAGTTAGCTTGTCATTGGAACAAAATATTCATGCTCACCGAAATCAGCTCATATTTTGTGTATGACCCCCCGAATATATGGCCAACAGGATTTTATGAGATTGTCGTTCTATTTTCAACCTTTATTCGACTATTTTTGAACCTCTCTAAAATTAATAAAACGTGAAAACGTAAGCCTTTCATAAACTCTGTTATGAGCACCTATACAGTGCAGTACACGTGTTTCGGCCTGGCAGCTTCGTCGTTGGCACAGTGTCATTCGTCTGTGCCGATACCTCTCGGGGCAGAACGCCCTTACATAGAGGTTTCGTCGACGAGCATGTTACGCCGTGAGGAAAGTGAAAATTAACTTAATCCACGGGTAACACATCACTGCATATCCAGTGATATGATAACCGGACATTGCAGTGATTAGCACTCGACTTGCTCAGCGCTGATATTTTCATTACAAAACCTTTATATTCGACTGTTTTGAGACCTCGCTCAAAATTTTTACATCCTGTCAGCATATGTTAAGCCTTTCATAAGGCCTTTCATAACCTCATGCGAGGGCAATGTGGCACCGCTGAAGCACTTGTATTGCATTGTATAAGTGCTCATAAAAGACCTCATGAAAGGCTGTTGTGACGTTCCACTTTCAGTTCTCAGAAAAAAAAAGTAGGGAAAACGAAACTACACACCAAAAGAGGGCACCTTCAAGGGGCGAAGTTTGAAAACTTGTCAATCATGCATAGACACTTTGATCTCCGTGCCTCCAGAATGTATTGAATTTTTTGTTAATGCATACAATGGGTAAACTCGGCTTACTTCAATATTCATTTTGTCTAACAAAACTCGAATCCACATCAAAGGAGGGGTTCGGTATGTTAGTGTACATTACCCGAAATCTTGTTGTAATTTACATTGTTGATGATCGCACGTGAAGAAGAACTGTGAAACGAAGAAAAAGTATTCGGGATTCCAGAGAAAAGGTGATTCAGAGAGCACTCAACAGTTCAGTGAGGAGAAAAGATGACAGATGATAGGTCAACAGTTATAGTTATTGTTATAAGGCAACAAAATAAATGAAGTATCTGTTGAGGCTCCGCCTACATAAAAATGAACTGTTTCTTACTAATACTCGCCAATATACTAATAAAATACAAGGCAACGTGTTTGACGATCTGAAATAACATGAAGGAGAGCAATACACTTTTTTTTGGCAAAACCCGACATAACCTACTGTGTGGATTGCAACATTCCGTATATTCGATGTATTCTTTTCATCCACCATGAGCGGAGATGTACGAGTCTTAACGACTTCGTTAAACTTGTGCTTGATATGTTTTGCCTTTTCTATGAATGCCGTTGAATACTTGATTGAAATTTTTTTCTTGCATTCTAAGTGTAACTGGCTAAATGTTACCACATAAATTTCACAGAATAAACTGTTCCCAGACATTTCTAGTACCGTTAGGTGTTTCGCGATCTTCGGGATATAAGGGGTATGGTGGGGCCGGTCGAGGTCTAATCAGTGCTGCGCTCGCAGTGAACGGCATCGCTATCATTATGCTATCTGCCCTTGAACAAACTGAAAATATTCATTGTAAATACTCTATTACTTACACTGAAGACTCTGTTGGGTTTAGATCTATTGGCCATCGAGTGACACTTCTCCTTTAGTAGAGTTCTCCTGATGTTTGTAAGTGATGGAGGTGGGCGAGCCCACGAGATTTCCAAGCGGTAGCCATTCTGCATCCATCAACGTTTCTTCAGTAAAAACTCGGCAAAAAAAAATCCTTAGATTGCTTTCTGTACTCAAATAAATAATAATAATAATAATAATAATAATAATAATATAGGTTCAAATATATTAAGGGCCACATTGATAGAGAAAGTTCAAAGTCTCTGTACACTGAAATTTACATTATTGGTTTTACCATTTCAAATTTGGTTGATCATTGGATATTGATATGACAGTAAATGAAATGATCATGTGATGTTTAAACACAAAATTGTCTTTTTGTGTTCGCATGGCCTATCGTTCATCTAGAACCTTTGTGTCAAACAAGTAGTATTCAGAAGGATAAAGGATAAAGCGTACAACGCTTTTTTAGCATCATCAAGCACTAAAAAGATTATTGAATGCACAATACCTTCCAATCTACTATCTTGAGATCTCGCTCAAATATCAATATAGTCTGGCAGAATGTTTTTAGTCTCATGAGCTCTGGTATGACTTATCTAGTGGTATACGTACGTCCTGGAGTTCTTGCACGCCTCACGTTGTGTATCACATGCCCTACGGCTCATCTCTGCTACTATTAGCAGCCGGCGCCGAAAATGTATCACTCTACGTTAAGAGGAAAAATCATTTGGTGTTACGCTTCTCTTCTTCATTCTTTATTCTATCAGACTATATAGGATTTCTAAGCTATGTCTTAAGATATCGATTGGAAGGTACTGTTATATGCTCCATAACAGCCGTAAGCCGGAGACAGTCACTGTGAACACAACACTAAGTGATTATTTTTCACTTAACATAGAGTGGTGCATCTTTGGCACCGACTGCTAGTAATAGCGGGGGTGAGCCGTAAAACACGTAGCACTTATGAGGCGTGCGGGAACGCCGAAACATATGTCTACCACGAATGATGCCAGAAACTAGACCTCTTGAAAGACTCAAAACATTCTGGCAGACTATACTGAATGTACAATTTAGCCTATAAAATGGAGGTGGCGAATTTTCAATATTTTCCACTATGAAAGGAAGGAAGAGGGATTGAATTGCTCAGGCGCGGGATCGATTCAGAGATCACTTTTGAGTTGCAAGGCACGTTTAGCCAGTGTTTTCCACGATACGCGTTTAAAATAATCTTTTACAGTGATAAATTTTTTCATTGATCAAGAACTAATCTTTAAAAAGATTTCTCAAAGTGGTCAAGCACAGAAGGTGCAGAAATTCAAATTGCGAGAGTTGTCAAAAAATATAACCTACAATTTAGTATTACGATTTGTTGATAAATATTAGGTATCCAATTGAGTAATGTCGCATTTGAAAAGCGTATTTTCACGAAATCATAACTTCTTCGTAAAATTGATAAACGAGAATTCGGCCTCACGTCTTTTGCAAATACGACAGAGCCGAATCCTATACCTAACAATAATTTCGCACCAGCATGGCTCCGTTGTATTTTGTCATGGCAATTTCTGCTTGAGCTCTTCTATGAAAGCGTACGAAACCGTATGTCCGTTGGATTTTCACTCGTTTCACGCCCTGAAGTGAGACTTTGCAGGATAGCAAAAAAGTATGTTTGCCGACACTTCTGATAGTTATGAATGTGTCCTCTTTAAAGTGCTCTACTCCTGAATATAGCGAGATATCTAACAATTTATATAGGTATGCATGGATCTTTCCTACAAAAAGACTGTGAATCTATTGATTATAGACTGGGTGGCGCAGGGTGACTGTTAAGCTTCACACATATATTAGCTCTTTGTGATATTTGCCCAGGAGATGAAAATCAGTGCAATCATGTCTCGTAGTCTGTTCAATGGATGTGTAACTTAAAGCTCGAATATTCAAAGTAAAAATGTCTATATTACGTTCTGTGGTATTTTTTTTGGCACGCAGGCGATATTCTGTCTGTAGATTGGTGAAAAGCTTGTAATCAAAGGAGTAAGGAGTATATGAGGAATCTGGGCGCGTTTCCAAACACGAAGTCTACTTTTGCTTCAGACAGCACAAAAGCTACCAGTGATTGTCCTCTGTCCCAGTCCGCAAAACGGGTCATGTTTTCAAGCGATACTCATCGTATTCTCTTATTAATCACAGTGATTTTGCATGAAAAATGGCGTTTCGTTTTGCTGTCCATAGGTCAGTAGAATAAGTACGACGTGACGTGACAGGGACTGAAGCAATATAGATGCTCACTTTGGGTTATTTGCCTGATTCATTTCTCTTTTGAAACTCGCAAATTCGCTTTCTCGACGCAAATCATAGGTTGCAATGTTGTACACACTTTGTATTGTTAAAATTCTTATCACAATGAATATTGCGTTTGTTCAGCTATATACAATTTTTTTGCATATAACTTTCGT